CCTCCCACAGGGCCAACAGGGTGTAGGTGCCCCTCCCACAGGGCCAGCAGGGTGTAGGTGCCCCTCCCATGGGGCCAGCAGGGTGTAGGTGCCCCTCCCATGGGGCCAGCAGGGTGTAGGTGCCCCTCCCACGGGGCCAGCAGGGTGTAGGTGCCCCTCCCACGGGGCCAGCAGGGTGTAGGTGCTCCTCCCACAGGGCCAGTAGGGTGCCTCACATCCAGGAGCCATGCTGACACTTGGCGCCACCAAGCTGTGCAGCTGACAGGCCCTCAGCTCATCCCTGTCCCCTCCTGTCCAGGCAGTCGACTGCTCCATCCTGCCAGGCCTGCTCAGCTGGTCTCGAGGGAGCCATTTCTTCACTTCTCTTCTGTTCTCTTGGCCCGCTCTGCCTTGTAATTTGTGGAGACTGAGGGGTAATTATAACTCAAAGAGGCTTAACGAGCACTCTCAAAAGAGATCTGCGGTGTATGAATCACTTCTGTCCGGGGACCTGCAGTGGGGTTCTGCCTCACCTTCCTGGCCGTGCAGCTGTCTGGACACTGTCCATCTTGTGTCTCTGCTGTCCCTATCTAAAGGCCTTGCTGAGCAGCCAGAGCACAGGCCAGGGCATGTGGTCAGTCACTTCCTCCTAGGGGTCTTACAAATGTCGTCTGCATGGGGTTACCTGAGGCCTGGGGCCCTACAGTCCAGAGAATGTGCTCACCTTTGCACAGATCTATTGAAAAAGCTCCGAGGAGGGTGCATTTTAAGCATCACTGTCAGCTGAGGTGCCAGAGACACTGAGGCATCAGGACGGCCTCTGCATACCTGTCTTCCCAGCTAAGCCTAAGTTCTGTCCTCCAGGGCCATGGGGTTGCATGAGGGGCAGGTGGGATGAGGTGTGGGGAGTAGGTTCAGGAGGGAGGCTCAAATGGGAGACTGTGGGGTCGCCAGGCATTCAGAAATCAGTCCTGGAGGGATGCCGGGGAGCTCAGGCAGTGTTGGTGCGTGCAGATGGCCAGGCCCAGGGATCCGAGGCTAGCACTTTGGGGCCTTGCTCACCCACAGCCCTGCTGTCCCCTTCTGACCCCAAGTGCTGGCCTGTGCACCTCTCTGACCATTTCTTGGCTCTGAAAAGCCAAGTGGCCTAGAAATGGGCCACTGCAGACAGGGGTTGATAGAGGTGGCCTCTGGGTCATTTTCAGAGGCCAGTTGGTGGTGGCTGTGGAGGGCTCCTTCCTGCCCCTCAGGCCCAGGGGTCTGTGACTGTTGGATGGGGGGTAGAGGGGGCAAGGCCTGTCACAGACTCGGCTCTGGTCCTTATTGACCAGGATAGTGACCCACTGTGGCGGGTAGGATCCAGAGAGGCTACTCTGAGCAGCCATGCACATCAGGGGCCTTCAGAGTGCAAGGCCCAGCACAGTCCCTTCTCCGCAGGGCAGGGCCCACGGCTTAGCCTGGCCTTTGCTGTGTCTCATGACCCAGATGGCCTCTGACTTGGAGTTCCTCCCTCAGCGGCCTCAGCTCCTGGGAATAGGCTATATAAGCTCATTGTATCTGGTCCTTGGCTTTTGTTTTTTCCATTTTCTAAATTATGGGGGATTATACATAGTATAAAATTTGCCATCTTATCCACTTTTAGGCATGCATTCCTGTGGCATTAAATATGCCATATTTTGCAGTATATCATGCACACTGTTTTGCCCAGATTTTTGAGGGAAAGTAAGCATGCATATTATACATGGGTGATACTAATTCCACACCTATATAAATGTTCTTAATTCTTTTATTTATGCTTGTGTGTTAAAATTGTAACTTGGGAAAGCAATACTGATATCTGTATGCAGAATGATACTCTGGAATGTGGTAATCAGTTTCATTGAACTCAAGACAAACTTGCAGTGAAAGCATTTTTTGGCCAACAAAGAGCAACATATTTCTCTTGGTACACTTTAGAGAGCTAGCAATCCAGCTGACATCTTTCCAAAAACTATTGGAAAATCCCTTGCAAAAATGTTGAAACCGTTTTCATGCACTGCAGGCTTTGAGTTCACGGTTATTAAGTGTGCTGAAGAGCCGGCGGTAGGGCTGCCAAGACTCTGGGCCCTCCTCTCACGGAGGTGCCGTCAGAGTGCGGCTGCAGCAGGAGGCTCTTCAGAGGCCAAGGCAGAGGACAGCCGTGCGAGGGGGACTCCAGAGTGGCGGAGGGTGGGGGAGGAGGTGAAGACGTGGATTCTGCAGCAGCGTCAAGCTGGGATCTCTGTTTCAACCAAGGTGATACAAGACAAGGGTAAAAGGATTACGTGAGAAAAACGTTTGACGATTTCTCAGGGACACCTGAATGGTGTTTTAACTTTATAGGAGAGAAAGTATGAGCATGAGGACAGGAACAAAACTTGTCCAAAACTTCCAGCAGCCTATGAGAGTCAAGCTTTGGAATTTCGTGCCTACATAATCAATCTTTGAAAGACATAACTTTGAGCTGCTCCACATCTCCTGTGGGGTTGAGGCCCCACTCACATTTGATGTGCCATCAAACAGAACTGTGGACATCAAAGGGGCAGACACCAGGGCTACAAAAATTAGTGGACGAGAGAAAACACATTTCACTGTTGTTCTAGCCTGTTGTGCAGATGGGAGAAAGCTGTCACCTATGATCAGCTTTTTGTGTTTTATTTGGTTTGTTTTTTTGAGACTGAGTCTCACTTTGTTGTCCTGGGTAGAGTGCTTGCTGTGGCATCATAGCTCACAGCAACCTCAAACTCTTGGGCTCAAGCAGTCCTCTTGCCTCAGTTTTTCATTTTTAGTATAGATGGGGTCTCACTCTTACTCAGGCTGGTCTCGAACTCCTGAGTTCCACCTGCCTTGGCCTCCTATAGTACTGGGATTATAGACTTTGATCATCTTTTTTTTTTGCAGTTTTTGGCCAGGGCTGGGTTTGAATCTGCTATCTCCGGGGATATGGGGCTGGCGCCCTACTCCTTTGAGCCACAGGCACTGCCCTGGCTTTGATCATCCACAAAAGAAAAAGAAAAGATTCTCGAGTTACTGTCCATGTGCATAAAAAAGGGTGGGTGAATGAAGAAGGCATGAAAATGTGGTTTAACACAGTCTGGTTGCAAAGGCAAAAAACAGCTTTGTTTATTTTTGATCACTTCAAAGCCCATGTTACACAAAGTGCAAAAGCAATTGCGGCAGACTTGAAAACCCAACTTGTCGTGATACCTGGTGAGCTCACCAGCCACCTGCAGCCCTTCGATTTGTCAGTAAACAAGCCCTTGAAGGCCCTAAGGAAGGAAGAGTGGAGGCCGCAGATGCCGTCAGCTGGTGATGATTTACCACCCACAGGCAGAACCCAGAAAGCATCCATCACCCAGGTTGGTGATGGGATCCTGAGAGCGCGGACGTGGCATGAAGCAAGGTTGTGAAGTCGTTTAAAACATGCAGCATCAGCAACGCTATGGATGGAACTGAAGACAAGGAGGTTTACTGGGATGAAGAAAGAGACTCTTCAGAAGAAACTGGTGATGGAGAAATTGAAGAAGATGATGCTTCTGATGTTGACAGTGACAGAGAGCTCTTGGCCTTCTATGATGTGTAAATATTGTAAATTTGTTACTGGTAGATAAAATTTCTTGTACCCGTATCTGTTCCTGTGTTTTATAATTATTTGTTACATAAATTTTCTTGTACCATATGTTAAAAGTAAATGTTAAGATTCCTTTATAATACAAAAAGCACCTAAATATAAACAAATAAAAATATGAATTAAAAAATTAAAACGATTAATCAGCGTCTGTGGCTCAGGCGGCTAAGGTGCCAGCCACATACACCTGAGCTGGCAGGTTCGAATCCAGCCCAGGTCGCCAAACAACAATGACAGCTGCAACCAAAAATTGGCTGGGCGTTGTGGCCGGCGCCTGTAGTCCCAGCTACTTGGGAGGTGGAGGCAGGAGAATCGCTTGAGCCCAGGAGTTAGAGGTTGTTGTGAGCTGTGATGCCACAGAACTCTACCCAGGGCAACAGCTTGAGGCTCTGTCTCAAAAAAAAAAAAAAAAAAAAATTAAAATGAAAGATATTTTTCCTGAAAGTTTGGGCAAAAAATGTGGGTGCACATTATCTATGGCAAAATACGATATTCACATTTTTGTGCACTGTCTCTCTAGATGAGAACTTTGTCATCTTGCAAAACTGAAACTGTCCCTGGTAAATGGGCTCCAGTGTCCCAGCCCCCAGCCCCTGACAATCTCTGTTCCACTTTCTGCCCCCACAAACTTGACATTTCTAGGTTCCTTACATCTTAGTCTGCTCAGGTCTAAGTGCACAAGTGATAAAAGCACTG